ATGTATATAACTCCACATAGTAGTTTTTTAGTTAATACAAATAATATAGATTATTATATCCTTTTTAACCTACTTCAAAAAGGAGGAGGTTCTCAATTCGTCTGTATATATTTTTTTAAGTATGTTCAGCGATAATTCTTTAACACAATGTCCGATTTAAATGATTCTTTTTTGCTGGAAAGGGGGTACTTCCGGGATGGTCCCTTGAAAATTTGGTCAAAATCTAATAATTGGGTCAATGGGAAAATCCTCAAACTTTTCATTTTTTATGTATGTTTAGCGATAATTCTTTACCACCTTGTCCGATTTCTATAATGCTTTTCGTTAGTAAGGGGGTACCTCAGGGGTGGTCCCATATAAATTTGGTTCAGATGTGGTGATGGCATCTGCACGATTTTAAAGTCGGTTTTTTAAAATTACTTTTAATACATCTTACGTAAATTAAAAGTTTAATAATTTGGTGCTTTCTTGATGCGTCGTTTTATGATTTCACTTTGCATATGTTTAAGTACAGATAATTATTATTACTGGCAGTTTATTTTAAATCATTAAAATAATATTTTGTTGATCCAAAAAAGGCAAACAAAAAAGCTATATCACATTCAGTGTAATAATAAAAGTTAGATATAGAAATATAGTATATATATAACAGACTTTCAATCTCACTTTTTGTCGTAAAAGACTTTTAAATTTTTACCAGTGACGTCCGTACCGGGTTTGAACTGAATATTTTTGAACACAAATATGGTGCGCCACTGCTTTTTCTAAAAACCAAATTATCTTTAAAATCCTTATTTATTTTGGAGCAAATTTGGTTTATGACGTACTTTCGTACAAAGCACCCTTTTCGGGTAAGAAAATAAAAACCAGTATATTGAAACTGCTTTTGATATTTTGTTGAAATTTGGTAGGAACCCACCATGAGTGGAAACACTTTTTTTGGGCAAAATTTCATAAAAATATCTAAAGTGATAAGAAACTTATGATAAAATAGTTTTTTTTTTCTTAAAACTTTAACACCCAAAGGATTCGCACCTCTAAGTATCGGCACTCAATTAATAAATACCCTGTATTAATTGATATTACCTTATTCGAACCAATCGTCTATTTTTTCGTTATTTGTATTTATATTTCACAACTCTATACTCTTAAATGTAATTTAATCTAACTAAACCTATTCACTAAATTAAAATATAAAAATAATGTAAAACCCTCTAAAAATCGAACTGCGTTATAACAATATCTCGCAATGCACCGAGAAAAACAAATACGATTCTGGTTCCCCTAATTTAGGTAACTCTGACTCACTCGGCAGCCGTGTTAGGTGTTTTCGGTTCTTTTTTCTTAATTTCGCGCGTTAGAGTTTGAAATACGTATCCCTCGTATCTACAGGCAATTGTTAAAATTATGAATGAATCCGGATTTTGTTTAGTCTCGGAAGTAATTTTGTAGTATTTAGGCTCCACCCTAAAGTTGTAATTTTTATACCTACTAAACTACCGTTGCCCCGCAGGTCTTTCAGTTTGTAATGTAAATTTTCCTCTTAATTGAATAAAATAATATCATTTATACAAATACTTACCCACTTGTACATTAGATTTTTATAATTTTATGGTTCGATTTTATGTTCTTATAAGATAATATTTTCTAACATTAGGTAATATGTTTTTTATATTTTTAATGTTTTTGCATTTTAAATAATTTTACAATTTTATATTTTTAACGTTTTTAAATTTTAACTTACAATACTAATACTAATACAATAATTATACTTCTCATAGTCACGTACAGAACATGTCAATATGCCGTCTGTGATTTATTGTTTATTATACGTTTTTTATGTATGTATAGTTTTAAAATATATTTGTAAACTTATTGATTCATAATAATAAACATTCATGCATATCAAATAAGAGTAAGCACTTCAGCTAAGAGTAAGCAAGACGTACTATTAAGAACATAATGTCACAAATAAACTCATTGGAACCATCGTGAAACTAGTATTTGCACTTGCAGCAATGAATCGATAAGCAATAAAATGTTGCATATGACAGATTACACGACAGCTCCTACCACTGGGACATAATACATGTTGTTCACCGCCTCCCCTCCCATGTACCTAACTAAAAATATCAACCAAAACACGACATGCCACTTCTTGCAGTCAGACGAGGGACTATTAGGATTGTTTGGTCAACATGCGTTATTATTATTCTACACTAATTATCGTTATCTACTTGTAAATTCAATATATCTGTACAGGGATGGATTTAAAATGTGTCGCGTAAAAGCCAAACTAGGTTTTAAAATAAGGAATATGAAAATTATAAGAACGTTTATTAGAATCACATAAAATGCAATAAAACCTTTATTCTAACAGAATATAAAAACACACATATGGTGTCGGCCACTAAACGTTTTCCAATACGTTTTAAACAAGTGAATATGGAAACTACAGAGAGTTAGCATCAGAGCGAGCAGGAAACGAATAATGTCAGCGTTGCTAGTTTATACTGCCCGACCGCGTTGTAACTTTGGCCGGGCTATATAAATTGAACATCAGTGGCACTAACGCTCACAGCCCATTTTATGTTTAGGTTTAAGGATCTGGAGTATATTTCACAATCTGAGGATTTTTTAGAACCGTAGGTATGTTATAGGCGAATTATATAATTTAAATTGATAAATTTTGCCTATGTGAAGTACCTGCTATTAGTACAAACGTACAAATAAAATTCCGGAACGTTTTCAAAATATGGAGGCTTATTAGAATATTAAAAGTAAGGTAAAACGCATTTTGGACAAAATGCTACATCCTGATATTTAAATAAGTAAAATTTAAAATGAAACCCAGACAGCACACCAAATCCTTTGGATATCTTCTGGACATCCCAATATCCACTGAATGTCCAGTTCATGGTGGATATCTATTTTATATCCATGAGATGTAATTTATAGACATGCAAATGTCCATAAATAATAGTAATTTTATAGCAAATTATTAAAAAATTACGCCATTGTGGCTAATAGTACCGTTCAGATATTTAAAATTAATTTTTTTTAAGATGTATTCAATATCCCATGCACATCCACTAAATATATTAAAGTCAGAGCTGGGACGAATCCTCAAAAAATTGATTCGAATCACGAATCCGAATCATGGGATGTGATTCGAATCACGGGTCCTATGTCCGAATCCTTTTTGCAATAAAAAAGGATTCAAATCAAGTGATTCGAATCTATTTTTTCGGATCACGAATACGAATCACTGTCAGTGACATACCATGATATTATGTATGTTTCCGAATCTAATATCAATATCAACTATGTGTCTTTTACGGACTATGACTTCCATACAAATGGTTGATACAAGAAAATATTGAAAAAAATAAACTTTTTTTTTCTATAAATATGAACCATAAAAAAATTACAAAAAATATATTTTATTTTAATAAAAAAAAACAAAATAAACAAACAATGAAATAAAAATGTCTTTTGGTTGGCCTTACATAGCACCAAAATTTCAAAGCCGTTCATTTGAGTGCGTCGATTATACCTGCAAACAAAAATAATCGTTAGACTGCACCAGACGAAGGAAAGCAAGTGTTAAATTTTAGGATTTTTTATGTTGGATATTCATTGCTAATTTGTAATGTTAAAGAAGGCAGCAGAGCATCTAGGTAATTTTTAGTTGAAACATACCAAATTTTTAGGCTATTTTAAAGCTATTTTTATGCTACTCGTTTTTTGCAAAAATCAAGGTGCTCTGCTAGCCTCGAACGAAGTCAGCAGAGCACCTCAGTTTTTAAGTTTTTTTTTTTTTCAAGAACAACGGCAAAATATTTTTAGGCTATTTATATTTCCAGAAAAAAATAAACCAAGGTGCTCTGCTAACTTTGTTCCAACAAAGCACCCTGTATTATTTAAAAATAGCAATTTTTAGTAAAGTTTTATAATATTTCAAGATCCTAAAAATAGCCTAAAAATGCGGTGTGGTTCTTTTTCAGAAAAAAGCTTTAAAAAACCAGCGTACTCTGCGTTCGGAGAACGTTCATCTTCTAAATAATAACAATCGGTCTTCAGTCTCAGTCTACTTCAGTTTACACTTCGCGACAAAAACGTGAGTCGACCGTTCGCGCCGGCGTAGTTTGGTCTCTAAAAGCATCCGAGAATAATATTGGTGATTCGAATACGAATCCTTAAGGATTTCCTTGGCGAATCCGGATCACGGATCCTTTTTTTCTTAAGTATTCGAATACCACTCGCGGATCCTCAAAAAGGATTCGAATCCCTGGATTCGAATCCTATGTGATTCGAATCCTCCTCAGCTCTGATCAGTCTAGACGCGAACGCAAACCATGGTGGATATCCACTAGATGTAATTTTTGATTTTGCTTACTAAGTATAGATGGTGATACCACTTTCGCTCGTTGAATATCTACTCATGCTCAACCCGCCGTAATTGAGTTCGACCGAAATTGGTATTGCAATCAGACTCCATTAGAGACTAGAGTCGAGAATTTCTATTTATTGCAGAAGAGTCCTTATAAGGACGAAACCGGTCCATTTGAGTTTGGAATTATTTCCTTTTTTATCTATAGGATATATCCATTGGTTACTTGTGAACCTCTACTAAAGATACCCATAAAATATTTTGCTGAATATCCATAGAATATCTTCTATATCCTGGATTTAGACGGACATTTGGATATCCATATTGATCCACTGGATATTTCTGATATCCTGTGGATATATTGGATATCCACAAAAGATATTCTGTGGATATCTCTGGGATTTGGTGTGTTGCCTGGGAACTTGGTAGATGCTATTAATGAGACTGATATACTAATAAATAATCTGAAAATAAAAGTAAACATTTTTAAAACCATAAAATATACCCATTCACATCGTCCTAAATAAGTTTGACAGGAGGTGACAATTTTGAATATCTCTGTATAATAGTGCAGTGAGCGCCACCGTTTTTTATTATCGATTATCGATCTTCGGCCACTCTAGTCTACATATTTAATCAAAAGTGTTCAGCACTTTGTCGTAGAATCGTATTTATCCAAAAGTGGTAACAGGTGTGTTTTGCCGCGTCTCGTATTTGATTTCGGTGTTTGAAATCTTTCTACTTTGGTTAGTACTATATTTTTTCAATAATTGATACATTATACAACAAAATATTTAATTTGAGATTTTATTTGTTAGCGGAACTCATACAGTCGATGTTTTTTACTTAATTCGCACATCATCAGGATGATTGAATATTCATTCGCCTTGATTACCCTCAAACAAATAGAAAATCAATTTAATTTTTTTTCTGTATGATTGGTGGAAGACATTCTAATTTTGTTTCTTTCTGTTTGATATTTTCAAATATTTTTCATTAGATTTGATATTATAAATATTTATTTTCTGATTTCTCAAATTTTAAATAGTAGGAAGATTTTTAGTGCGAGAAGTACCTCCTGACAAACAAACAGGAATAATCTAACTCTTTTATTGGTTTTAGCAAGAAATTGCCCAAATATAAAATATAACAATGTTTTAAAGAGATTTTTCCTCGTTTAAAAAAATAAACGTACCAATCTAATATTGATATTCTTTTTTTTTGGAATTTGTGTACTCTATTTTTCAAAATTTAAAATAAAAACAGTGATAGAAGACAAACGAGAGTATGTGTTTAGTGCATCCCCTTCAGTTTAGGCGTTTGGATACAGGATACAGGTATACCTGTAGGCACCATTTTAGATATATTTAGGGCCGTGTAGCTAAAGCCTAAAAGGAGTAATGGTCTTGATATTAAATATCATGACTTTTTATTAAAATTTTATTTAAATCTTGTAATAACATATTTATTTTTTCTATGTCCATAATACAAAACTACACTTTTTCAATTACCGTTGATTAAGAAATATAATACATTTTCTTAATTTGATAATTCTTATAACACAAAGTTATCATTTCCGAATCAGATCCTTATCTGATAAGCAGTCGTTCCCTAAATATTTTAATAAAATCATGTATGCCATAAAATGTAAAATATTACATAATTATATAGAAAAGAGTTTTCATTTTAATTTTATAAGTTATAAAAAATAATTAAAAACGGTTAGCATGTTCAAAAAACAAGACATGTCCATTTCCTATTTGTATAACACACCAGTAGGGAATGAGTTCCGCTCCTTGCTCGTTAAACAATAATTTACTTATTTTAAATTAAATAACATATAAAATATGATAATTTTTTACTCTAATTTTTATAATTAATATTAAACGTAAACTTTGCACATTAGATGTATAAAGTGTTTTCTGGTTCCTTGTAAGTGGCCAAACAGTCATGTGATTTCATTTAGAAAAGTATCTATTATTGCTCTCTTTAACATTTCGCATGTGCTACAAAATGTTCTTCGAGTGAGTAAAAGAAGATGGGCATGGGCAGAGATTAGGGACATAAAGATTGGAAACGCAACGACCGCATCAACGATGGCGTCATCTAGCGTCTCAGATGTTAACTACAGGTATACGTCGTTTGTAGAGAGACCAGTGATGCCAAATATTTTTTTTTGAGAGATCGTACAAGTAGAGTAGAAAAATGGTATTTCAACAAAAAAATTGTACAATAGATACATGCATAGCATAGTATAACTTAAATGGAATGAAAAATTAAAAAAAAATTCTTTGGCATAATAATTTATTTATCTATTTATAAAAATGTTTACAACGAAAAAAAAAAAAAAAAAAGAAAACTAAAGAAAATACATGAAACTTTAAATAAACACATTTAAAGTAATCAAGGACTGTCACTTGAAAGTGATTAAAATTTTGCATGCAAGCTTTTCTTATGCTGTGATAGTCGGTATACAAAATCACCATGGTCAAAATCACGATAAGTCAGAACGAAAATGACTGCCTTCAGAAATTACGAACGGCCTATGAATCTTTGCCACATACTTTGATTACTATACGAGGCAAGAGAGAGGTCCGACACGCCCACATACTTTGATTACTATACGAGGCAAGAGAGAAGTCCGACACGCCCAACATAGGGCGCGGCCATTTTGAACCCTGTGACACAGTTTACAGCTAAAGAATCAGATCGCTCACTCTGCGTCGTCACTTTGGATCTAAATGTTTCAGTTTATACACTGTGCAACTCGGATAATACAATATATGACAACCGCCTATAATAAAACAGCAGTCTTCTGCGTATCCTGAATTTGTATCCCTGGAGTGGATGTTATTTTGGAACTTTCAACTGGTCCGAGTGAGCTAACTGATTCTTTAGCAATAAACTGTGACTTCAAAAATAATATTCACTGACACTGACAGCAGCAAGCAAAATATCAGGTGCGTTTTAATCATCCGTTTCTGCTTCCGGAATTGTCGGTTTAGTCGTTTTAACCTGTCAAATTAAAACAAGAAAACTGACAATTCCGAAGCAGAAGCGGATGATTAAAACGTACCTATTAAAAATATTGCGCCAAGATGTAGGCAACACGTAATAAGGGTTCAAAATGGCGGAGTTTTCTATCTCCCTTTAAAAGGCACTCAGAAAGCTGCGCAGTGCGACCATTCTCCGTATAGTAAAAGAAAATCAAAGTATGTGGACACGCCCAACATAGGGCGCGGCCATTTTGAACCCTGTGACACAGTTTACAGCTAAAGAATCAGATCGCTCACTCTACACCGGCACTTTTGATCTCAATGTTTCAGTTTATACACTGTGCAACTCGGATAATACAATATATGACAACCGCCTATAATAAAACAGCAGTCTTCTGCGTATCCTGAATGTGTATCCCTGGAGTGGATGTTATTTTGGAACTTTCAACTGGTCCGAGTGAGCTAACTGATTCTTTAGCAATAAACTGTGACTTCAAAAATAATATTCACTGACACTGACAGCAGCAAGCAAAATATCAGGTGCGTTTTAATCATTCGCTTCTGCTTCCGGAATTGTCGGTTTAGTCGTTTTAACCTGTCAGATTAAAACAAGAAAACCGACAATTCCGAAGCAGAAGCGGATGATTAAAACGCACCTATTAAAAATATTGCGCCAAGATGTAGGCAACACGTAATAAGGGTTCAAAATGGCGTAGTTTTCTATCTCCTTTTAAAAGGCACTCAGAAAGCTGCGCAGTGCGACCATTCTCCGTATAGTAAAAGAAAATCAAATTATGTGATCTTTGCAAGTAGTTTTTTTATTTTTGTTTTATGTTCTGAAGTTGTTGCAGATATTTAAATAAACTAAAAAAGTGAAGATCGTATTTTTCCGTACGATCTCACTGATGCAATCGTACATCGTACAGAGATTTAAAAAATCGTATAAATACTATTTAAATCGTACGGTTGGCAACACTGAGACAGACAGTAGACGTGGACAGCAGTGGACAATTTGTAAATATAAATGTCAGTTAGTTTTATGTATATCGAATCCTGCATTTAAATTTTAAATTTTGAGTTCATGATTGTGTTATCGTCTAGATAAACTAAGCAAAATAGTTGTGGCTGTTTTTGTGTAAAATTTGAGGACAATAATTATATTTTGTAATATTACAATAAGTCGAAGAACGTATTGCATTAGTAACACATGCCACATGAACAAATTTAACAACCCCAATGTGGCGTTCTTTAATTAACCAAAGTAGGTAAGATCTATTCATGTATGTAACACAAATAGTAATCAACTTTTGTCACAAAGTAGATATTTATTGTTTTAGAACAAAAAATGGCTTCAAGACGTTAGAAAGAAGTTTTGATATAGGAAGAAAAATATCTAAATTGCCATTATTGACTTTACACTTAACATTTTTACTTTCCTATCTGTATACAGATATAAGGAAAGTATAGGAATCATGATTTTTTTCGACCTCGAGTTTTCGACGGATTTTTACGTTTTGAGGTCCCCTGAATCCGTTTTGACTATTTTCGCGATGTGTGTGTGTGTGTGTGTGTGTGTGTGTGTGTGTGTGTGTGTGTGTGTGTGTGTGTGTGTGTGTGTGTGTGTGTGTGTGTGTGTGTGTGTGTGTGTGTGTGGGTGCGTGCGTGCGTGCGTGCGTGCGTGCGTGGGTGTGTGTGTGTGTGTGTGTGTGTGTGCGTGTGTGTGTGTGCGTGTGTGTGTGTGTGTGTGTGTGTGTGTGTGTGTGTGTGTGTGTGTGTGTGTGTGTATCCACCATAACTCATGAACCGATACACAGAAAAACACAAAATTTTAAACTTAAGCTTTATTCCAGGGTCCAATGAATTGATTAGATTTTGGGCAGAGTCGGAACATCTGGGGGTACTTTATTTGTGGTCATTTTTATATTTTATGAAATATATCTGTTATTTACGTTTGAAGAAAAAAATTCTTTAAATAAAAGTTACTTCTAATATTATTATCTATAATTTTTGTTCAATATAAAATTTTCTTAAAATGGTCCGTATTCGAGAAATTTGACAAAATGTAAAAAAAATAATTTTTTATAAAAATTGTTCAAATAAAAGTTGTTTGTAATATAATTCTCTATAATTTTTATCCTATAAATAATTTCTCTAAAATGGACCGTATTCGAGATATTTGAGAAAATGTGTAAATTTCGAATTTTGAAGAAAACTCAAAAACGGATAAAGGAAAAAACATTAAATTTTAAACTTAAGTTTTATTTCGACCTGAGGTGAACTGATTAGATTTTGGACAGAGTCGGAACATTTGGGGGGGGGGTACTTTATTGGTGGTCATTTTTATATTTTATGGAATATATTCGTTATTTACGTTTGGGGAAGAAAATTCTTTAGATAAAAGTTACTTACAATATTATTATCTATAGTTTTTGTTCTATGTCAAATTTTTTTGAAATGGTCCGTATTCGAGAAATTTGACAAAATGTGCAAAATTCTGATTTTTAAGAAAATTGTTAATCTAAAAGTTGTTTGCGATATCGATCTCTATAATTTTTGTTTTTAAATGACTTTTCTAAAATGGACCGTAATGGAAAAATTGGAGGAAAAGTGCTAAATTAAAATTTTTCAGTATTTTCGTTTTCAATGAATATCTATAGAAAAATGTTTCGAGGTAGATGTATGTGGAAAATGTATATATTTAGTTTATCCTCTAAACATTTTTAGAGATGCTGCAATAGGTTAACTAGATA